TGTAGTTAGGAAGATCTATGTTTGCTGATCAATGAGTTACAATTAATTCTAGTTTCAGTTAAAGCAATTACATCAGGTACATTATCAAAGCAACATAAAAGGTCGTGTAAGAGCTCGAAGTTTTTTGCTAGACTTCTAATATTACAATGAAAGAGAAAAATGGAATCGTTATCTACATCAGCTAAAAGGTTATGGAATAGTACCCAGAGCTAGGGGTTGACAACATTAAATCTGGGTCAGATTCATCGAACTTGTCAGGATTTGGAAGGATTGTGTACAAATCAACACCAGAGTTGATGAAGTCACTGACGTTACCGGAACCGAGTACAAATCTAAATTCTCTTTCATCTAAATCATTAAATGGGGGTATCCAAACATTTGAAGAAGCCATTATCAAATAACTATTAAGTTACTACAAGGAGTATTAACCAGATATTAAAGTTTCATTGTGATGGAGCAATGAAGTCTTTGAATTCTTCAAATGTTGTAAATGTTTCATGTTTACGTAGATAGATCTTACCATTATTTGTCCATAGGAATTTGTACTTGTTTTCCTTCTTGAATTTGTTTACCCTTCCAAAGAGTTCACTGCGATACTGGGTTAGGGATTCATTAATGTACATAGCAGAGTCTTGGTGGATGCTTTTCCCCATCTCACAAGCCACGGATGGAAGCACGCTTGCTTTTTTCCCGCCGAGGTGCTTGCGTGACTTGTAGAATTCGTCACGCTTTTCTCTAAGGACGAATTTGACAATAAATCTGTCCTTCTTACCCTTAGTATAGGGCAATCGCTGGGCTATCGAAATTTCCTGCTTGGATGGAGTCTATGGCTGCTTCAGCATCATAGAGTGAGCCATTAAGATGGTTGATTTTGTTGTCTTGGGCTTTGCATCAGTTGGTAAGATCGTTTATCTGTTTCTTGGTCCACTGCATTGACTTTAAAACAGAATCGTATTCATCGCTGATCAATTGCTGTGACGATTCAATCAAGTCGAGACGCTTTGACAGATTAGTTATCAGGCAGTTTACCTTTTCAATTTCAGTCTTCAGTTCGTTTCTGATTTCTTTCTTGATGTTGGGAAGGAATTCTGTCTTCCAGATCTTTCGAATGTTGTCGACAGTGAGCAGTTCTGAGGAGGAAGCCATTTTTGTTGCGGAGCTCAGAAGTCGCGTCCAGTCACCATGACACCCAGGCTCAGCAGGCTCAGCGAGGTACAAGTATTCATTGGACATGTACCTTGTTGAAATGATGTTTGTTGAAGTGATGTTTATCAGTTGGTTATATTTTTCGTAGTAAAAATCTCTGTTTCTTTTTCTGGCATTTGTAATTCATAAATTATGTTTTAAAATGTGCCTAGCACTAGCTAACTTGTTTACATGTTCATGTAATAGTTAGTAGCAGCTTCCTGCTGTGTTTACTTCAGTTCATCGTAACTTAATTCGAGTACTCTTCAGAGCTCTGTCTATCTTTTATAGTTGTTTTTGTTGTTTTTGAGACTTGTAATGAATTTTGTTATACATGTTAATTAACCTCAAATTTCTGTTCAAATATTACCACCTTCAGTAGTTTCCAGGATTACTGTAGTTCATTCTCAAAAACTTTCTGTTAATTTACAATTTTCTGCTCTCAAGTACTGTACTGCAGTGGAGTTTTGCTAGCCAAGTGGTTGACACTTGGAACTTCAGATCTGTTGATCTGGGTTCAAGCTCTGCCATCTTCTTGTTTTCATAGACAAGAACTTTTTATCTTCTATGTCTCTCTCAGATATATGCATATAAATATGTGTGGCCTATGACTCACTGCTAGGGGTAACCCTCATGGGTGCCACTTGAAAATTATTGAAATTATTTAATTATATGGAAGACAATTAAAGTAAAACTCAACAAATTTTGCCTGTGAAGTTTGCTTTGTTAATCTTGTCTATCCTGTGTTGGATTTGCATTTTAATTTAGAGTTATTAGCGAGTCTTGCTTAATATTCCATGGATATTGGCTCAAAACCTGTATTTCTTGAATAAGACAATATTTTTATTAAAATAATTAACAAATTTATTCATTATTCAAGGCATTTTATGATATCTTTTGAGTGATTTTGACATGTACCTGTGTCCTTTGCTAGTGAATTTTACTGGTGAATAAGGAACATGAACTGTAAAATAATTATTTGGAAAAACTCTGATACATGCAGTCTACATTTGTAGATAAAAAGACTGAAAAAAGCCTAATTACTGCAATCAACTACAATCACTAATAAAGATCGCTGAAATTAAAGGGTACAAAAATATCCTATCCACTGCATCTTATAGACTGCATCTTATAGCTATCACAGTGGTTATTGCAACAACAATCACTGATGACATTCCTATGTAAAGGGGGTTTCGATAATAAATATTATACAGGGCTCGTGATTATTTCACGTGGTCGCTGAACCACGAAATTCAGGTAAATCCACAAAATCCTGCGAAATTCACAAAAACGCATCAGATACTGCGAAATATTTGGAACTTATCTCAGCTATTGTTGTGGTTCAATTGCCGCAAACTTGCAAATTTATCTTGAAACGAGCAACATCCCAAAACCACCAGGCATAAATTATGTTGCCAAAAACTGGGCACTAGCCATAATATAAAAAGCTTTGCCATTGGCTCATTTCTCGATGGTATAGTTGTTGAAAGAGCAAATGATTATCTCTTTTTAAAAAAATGTAAAAATTCTGGTCAGATTATCCCAAAACCGATCAAATTTTAGTGAAATTTGCCCTGAAAATTCCCTCAAATAAGCCATATTTCATTGATTGTTGCTCAGTGAAGTTTACCTTGAAAATTCCCACGGAAATCCCACAAAATCAGCTGATTTTCCGCGAATTTGTCCCTGAAAATCCCGCGAAATTTGTCTGTTTTCTCGGCAACCTATCAGAAGCCCTGATTAAAGTGACTACAATATTATTTCCTATGATTGTTCAACTAGTTGAACTTTTTATAGCAGTGGTCGCAATCATTGGAAGCCATGCTTAACACAAACTGCAAGACATCATCTGTTTTTGGTCATGTAGATTTGTTGACAAACAAAGAAAAAGGTTACTATTTCAGGGCTCCAAAAAAGTCCTTTCTGGTATTCCAGGATGACTAGATTTTGTTGCTTGGCAAGTAACTTCTAAAGCGAACTTGCCTGATGGGCTTAGATCCAGGCAAGTTGAACCAAATTTCAACTAAATCATTGAGAGCTGCTTGCCCAAAGGACATCTTGTTTCTCTTGTTACAAGATACTGGGGCAGAAGTATTAAGTACATGTATAATACCTTATTGGTTCTAAATTTCACTGTTTTTGGATTTTGCCAATTGTGTTTTTTGCAATTCTAGAAAAAATCCTGATTAAAGATGCAAATAAGTTTTCTCATGAATTAAAGCACACAAAGTAATATATAAATTTAATAACCATAAAGAAAATTCAGATCACAGCACTTGCTTGTATGTTATAACTCTTAGTGTTGCAAGTTGCAGCTCATTGAGAAAATCCTACATATGTACGTTGTGATAAGTCAAGTCTGTTTCACACATGTTGGCCTTTCAAAAAGTGAGTCTTGCAGTGTATAGCCACCTTTGTATTAAGTTTAATACTAAAGGACAGGAAACAATAACCCTGCAAAGTTTTCTATGGGGGATTTGATTCATTTTTGGATGATGAGGGATTTGCCAAAGGGACTCAGGGAGTAAAGCAAGTCAGTTTTACAGCTTGCCATTTGGGCAAGCTGTATCTAGCATGTACTAGCCTAAGAGTCTCTTTAACTGCCCTGAAAAAAGTATTTGATGAGCAGGATTGTATACAGTTCTTCTGCAATTTGAACTCCCCAAAAAACTTTACCTGCCCAGCGGGTCAGTTAAGAACAGTATTCACTAGCCCAATAGCACAATCCACTAGCCGCAGGCTATTGGACACGAATTTCTTTGCACACTGGGACTTTAAATACGTGATAATTTTGGTTACAAGGAGTGACTTATAACTCATATTTTTATGGGCCTCAAATAAGTTATTTGGATGAACAAATACAGTGTCTTCACTCTTGGGTGTTGCACTGAAATTTGTTGTGCAACATGTTGCTTGTGCAGCTGGTAATATGGGCAACAATACTTTTTAACTTCTTATTTCACAATGGTTTGTGACAAGTTGAACAAAAATGCCTGTTTTACTTGACATTTCAGCCCTTGAAACACCTTACAATCAGTTGCTGGGTCTGGTTTTATAATGTATGTGCTTTGTTTATAAAGTACATGTAAATTGTATACTGTAAAATAAATACAGTAGTTTTGAATACCCTCCTCTTTAAACCACTGCCACAGACTCTTTAAAACTGCACAGCCTGGAAGATTGAAGACAACCAATGCTGTTGTCAATGAAGGCTCGTACAACCAATTGATTAATAAAAGCTTGACTTATCAATTAACGCGTTTTAGTAAATTAACTAGTTAACATGATATGCCCTTATATGTTCAACTGGCTGCTACATTACCATCTACTGGCTACAGAAATGTAGCCACCTTAAAATTCAAAAGTGACATTGTCTATTAAAGTACATGCAGCTGATTATTTCATTCCACGCTTAAGCCCTGTTGTAGGGAAATGAACTTCAGATAGATGAGTGTTGTGATTCACAACTCTCTTGTCTTGTAGAAATTTATTGGTTAGAATTTCTCTCCTCCTCCACAGGGAGGAAGGGGGCCTTGGCAGAGTGACTTTGCATAGGTGGCATTATTAAGAACTCTTTAAAATTTATTTCACTCTTTTGTTTGTTACAGAAAGAACCTCAAGAATTGCCTTTATCAGATGACTCATTGACCACATCACAAGAAGCCTCCTCAAGTGTCTTCCTGTCCACATCAGAACTGGAAGAACTTGTTACACCAACAGTGGCTCCAGCCACCCCAAGCTATGATGCTGATTTGCCCATTACTGTTGTAAACCACGCAAGTAGCAGTGACTCATACTCACAACCAAGTGAATACATGGTTTCATCAGTAATTCTTATACCTCCCAGTAATCCAAGCCAGATTCAGTCATCCCAGGGAAGTCAAAATGTTAGAGCTGGCACTTTCTCTGAGGGAGTGGTTGCAACAAAAGAGCCAAAGGTGTGCAATGAATTAAAAATACCACAAGGTGAAAAACAGATATATGAAAGGGTAAATTTAAAGAATGAAAATTATACACCATTAGTTTCCTCTGTTTACCTTATGTTACATTATTTAAAAATAATTTTTAATTTTTATCTGTTTGCTATTGCAGCCCTCCAAATGCAATCAGCAGTGAGCCCACGCCTACTGCACCTTTAGCAACAAGTCCAAAGGAGGAAGAAGACAGCATAACGGCAGCTTTAAACCAAGCAGTAGAAGAGGAAACCAAACTGAAGGAAGAAGAAATGCCTTCATTTGATGAATTTAAAAGAAGAGTTTTACAGGAGGAAGAAGAGAAAGGTAAACAGCAGAGTGCTGAGAACTCAAGTGGAGCTGCACCCAAACTCAAGAAACTAAAGGAACGAAAACAAAGCAATTACGCTTCAGTAGACTGTGGTGCAAAGATCTTAGATCACAATAGTGAAGCATCTAATGTTGACAGTATTTTGGTCGAAAATAGAGACTTGTATATGTTAAATCCGTGTAGCGCACAAGTGTGGTTTATTGTGGAGTTATGTGACCTGGCTCAAGTCAAAAGCATACAAATTGCAAACTTTGAACTATTCTCTTCTACTCCTGAAAGCTTTCGGGTGTATGTCAGTAAAAGATATCCCACAAGAGAGTGGACTATGTTAGGGACATTTCAAGCTCGCGAGGAAAGAACGATACAAACTTTTCCACTAGATGAACCAATCTATGCCAAGTACTTTAAGGTATGAATCTGTGAACAGTTTGCTGTGAAGTCGCCCAAAGCCAAAGTTAGTCATCATGCTGCAGTTGTTTAAAAAATGGATAACATTATCTGCCCGATAAGTCACTACACGTATCTACTGGATAACATGACTGGTTTCCCTAATACTTATCCACCGGATAGTGATTTATATTGTGGATATTATTAGTGCTATCCAAGTTTTGAACAGCTGTGGCCAGAAGGTTTATTATGCTCAGCAACTTTCTAACATCCTAAATACACATTCATCACACTTGTTTTGTCTCATTGAGGCTTTAAGAACGAGATATGTCACTCATGTATCGCGCCTTTTTCGCCGTCTTGTGGCTTAATGAACGACGTATTTAGTGTACAACACATTTATCATGCTCGTTTCGTCTAAGACTTTAAAGAACAAGACATTGCACATATGATGCTTATAATTGTCTTATTAACGAATCCCTTATTTTAAGTACCTTGTAGGTAGAAATTTCTTTCTTTTTTGGAATTCTGTCGATGCGAAGACAATTTTTAGCTTTTTTAAACAGATACATTGTGGCAAATAGTGTGATATAAACCCTCTAAGTACCTTATGTGTTGTCCTTAATTCAATTAGGTTGAGATGTTGAGTCACTTTGGCTCAGAGCATTACTGCACACGGAGCCTTCTGCGTGTGCACGGCAGCAGCATGATGGAAGAGCTGGAAGACCATGAAACAGATGGACAGGAAGAGAATGATAACAGTGACAGTGACAGTGATGTGCCAGTGTTACCTTCTGATCCTAGTGCCAAGGTTGAAGATCAACCCAAGGAGCAAAATGTGCTGGAAAGAGCAGCTGATACAGTTTTTAATCTGGTCAAGAAATTCACTGGAAATGGGCATGATAACAAGCAAGATAAGGAAGGAGATGATAGTAAACTCGGCGCCCAAGACAATAAAATGACTGCTTCTGAGAAGGAATCCCAAGGTGAAAGCAAGGGCAAAATTGTCACTCTTGTTGGTCATGAAGAGCTCAACGAAAATTCACAAATGAGTGGTGACAATGCCTGTCTAGTAAAGCAAGGTCACAGTCGTGATAGAAATGCTTCACAAGGAAAATGTGTGTCTGGTAATATAAGCTATGAAGATAGTCCACCTTGCAGCAAAGCAGATAACGAGGGAGAGACTTGTACATGTAGCCCTACTCCGTCAGCATGCCAGTTGTTTGCTCAGGTATTAGGGCACTACAGTCTGGGGTGTTTTGTGGGACGAATACTGTTTTCAAAGAATGAAAACTTTACAGTATCAATGAATTTAGCCACGAGTGGTGACTACAAGCGAAATTTAATTGTAGCTCATGAAAAAGATAAAGGTGAATCTTATGAAAAGAAAGAAAGTCAAGACCAAGAGAAAGTTCCTGCAGAACAGGCTGGAGAGCCATCTACTGCTGACAACTCAGAAGAGAAGAGTGCTGAATTAGATATCGTAGACCAAGAATTCTCTGTTATCATTCCTGAAATGTCTTCCAGCGTTATGAAAATATCAAATGAAGTTACCAGCTCAGGCGCATCGGGAGTTTCAGAATATGTTGACCCTTCGCCTGGAGTTTTGCAGCCTAGCGAGTCACTAAACATTTTCGTGTCAGAGAATGAGAAGAAGAGGGAAACTGATGACAAAACCCCTTCATTAGCAGAAGTGTCAATTGTTACGTCCTTACCCTTAAATGCCACTCTGCCGGCTTCTTCGTCTGCGGTACTTAAAAGTTCCCAAGTGCCAGTAATTAAGGATTCTTTTGTTGATGTTCCACAAGGTGAATCCAAGTTACACGATCAGCAGGAGTTAAATAAACAACCTGTACAAAGCATTCCTGACAGACCATCAACTGTGTTAGGAAGTGAACAGGCACACTCTGTGACAAAAGGCACTTCTCAGCAGCCATTACCTATGAATGCGAAGGATATAAGTTCCAAAGATGAAGAGAAAATAGAAGACAATGTAACAGTTACTGAAGAATTAAACAGTAGCAAGGGTAAAGATAAAACCGAAGCTACACCGTCGGAATGCAAAGGGGCAAATTCAATTCGCATTATGTCGCAATCTTCTCCAGATATTGACGTCTTGGAGACAAAACTCACTGACAAAGATGGACGAGAGGGTACTGCTCAATTGCCTGAAGAGGTACATTTAGAAAAAGAGCCTATATATAGTGCCATTGAAGCGTCAGAATCAATCAAAGCAAATGATTTTTCAAGCATACATTTAGAGCCAGTTAGAACAGAAGGTGAAGGATTGAAACCAGATTTGGACAACCAGGAGCCGGGTATTGAGAGCACAAAATCAACATCCAAAATGTTGGAATCTGAAAATGTGGATCCAGTTATTCAGCCTACCATTCCTCCTAGTATTGACATTACTGACACTTCAGACCCTGTTCTTCCATTGCCAGCTCCTCCTGTTATTGGAGACACAAGCTTGCCTAGCCATGAGTTTTCAACTGCAGCATCGTCAGCAGAAGCTACTCTTGATACTTCAATCCTCAGCAAAGCTCAACAAGCCGCTGTTTCTTCTTCAGCTGGACTATCGTCAGGGGTCGGGTCAGGAGGGCAGAAGGAATCCATATTTGTTCGTCTTAGTAACAAGATAAAGGTTCTGGAACAGAATTTGAACATGAGTACCCTGTATATGAAACAGCTGCATCAGAGGTAAATTTTACAAATCGCCTCAATCTCTCGTTGATACAAGTGGTTACAGCACCATGTTCTCTTTAAAGCTTTATTTGTGTGGGCCCAGGCTCCGGCCCCAAAAGGGAAAAGGCGGAAAAAAAAATCCGCAAATGAAGTGGCGGAAATGACCTTTCCCACACCCCAGTCCATGTTTGTTTTGTTGTAGTTGTAGTTGTAGTTGTTGTTGTCTTTTTCTTTTTTTGGCTGTTTCGACCCGTTTTTTGCCTTTTCCTCCACTATGCAGCCTGGTCCCAGGCTAAAGCTACACGTACATGTACAACCTGATGGACACCACTCTTTAGATGGTTCCATCTATTAATTTTTTTGAATTAAACGCTATATTACCATCTCCTCTAAACATCTAATAAAATTACCCCAACCCCTCCCCTATTCAATAGTGGTTTGGCCTTTAAACCAGTGTATATAATTCTGGGCCCAGTTGTTCAAAGGCCGATTAGCACTAAACCCAGGGTTAAATTTAACCCGAGTTTCTTTTTCTTTTTTCGAAAGCATTTTCTGGGATAACTTGCTCTGTTGTTTTTAAGACCATCCAAATATCAACTTGTTGACAAAAAGAATTAAACTGAATTTACTTTTTAAGCTTTCATATCTGAATTCATATTTCGCACTAACCCTAGGTTATCTTAACCCAGCTTTGAACAACCCGGCTCTGGGTCCGGTTCCTGAAAGGTCGATTAGCGCTAATCCAGGATTAAAATTTTGTTCCATTTTTGTAATTTACCTTCCTACGTATTGCTTAGAGTAACCTTTTGTGTTTTCATTACTGTATCTCGGGGTAAAGGCTCAACAGTATTTTTTTTTTAGCTCGAGTTGCGTGTCCTTAGACAAGAAAACCTTGCTTAAAACTAGGCTTAATCCTGGGTTAAACTTAACCAACTTTCGAGGAACCAGGCCCTGGTATTACTCAAAAAATTGTTGGAAGAGAGGAAGGGGTAGTAAGACAATTAATTTAAGCAAGGGGTTTCATTTTAGTCCGAATGACAGGAAAAATAGGTCTTTTTCAATTTGTATCAACCGGTTTAGATCACAGTTGTAGCTGATCTCGAAAAGCGTTTACCGTAGTACATGACCAGAGTGAAATAAAAGTAGTTTAGAGTTCTCGGAGAAAGTGCTAGGGACAATCCCATCACTTCGTATCTTTTAGTTCCTTCTTCAGAGAAGTTATGTTTATGTAGCCTGAAATTCAGACGTTACTGAGGGAGTAAAAACGACTCAAAATAGTCGTCTGAAATTCAGGCTTATGTTTAAGGTCATTGCGAAGATTCTCCTCCCCCCACCCACCCTCTTTTTTTTTTTCTGGGGGGGGGAGTTAAACAGGTTTAAATCTTCAGAACTGCAGCTTGTGCCTTGTGTCTTTTCTTGTTAGAATGCACGTTGTGTTTGTCTGGTTTTGATCTTATCAAGAGAAACAAAGTTGATGCTTTATGATGCTAATAGGAGTTGCCTTATTTCCGGTCACAGATACCGCAAGTCAGTGGAAGAATTACAGAAGAACTCAGATAAGAAAGTTGCCCTGTTGACCAATGCTACCAAGAAGGCAGAGACTATTGTATGTATTATCTTTATAATTCTTAGTGTTGGGAAAAAGTGGTGAGAATTACGAAGCAATCAGTAATTCTAACCTTTGTCGAATCGAGTGTTGCCTACACAACATGTTCTTAGCTTAACATTGATCTGGGGAAGTTGAACCTTCACAAAATACAATAAACACCCGCTAATACATTTGTAAGAACCCGTGGATTAAGGACCTGCTGGCAGAAATTTGGCATTTTAATACCCAAAAATGTAAGAACCTGTTTAGCCAAGCAAAATCAAGCAGGTTCTTGTATGTGTCTTACAGGTAAATACTGTAAAGATAAACATTTTTACCAAGGAGTTTGACTTCGAGATTTTCAAGTGATATTTCAAGAAGATACGCACACCAAACTGTAATTACAGACAGACGTATTACTGTAATTCCTCCAACGAAAAAAATGTTTATAAAAAGTACAGTTGTAATTGTCTTCATGAACCTTACATGAGGGTTTGCAAAGTACAGTTGTGAATAAACTATTAATAATCACAGGAGTTCAGGCTTCAGGAGTAATCATTGATCGTTTATTGCGACAGTGCTGTTTCGTATGGTCCGAAATTGTAGGACCACACTCATCAGGGAACTCCAACGATTGACCGTTAAAATTAAAAGCTGGCAGTAAAATATAGGGATGCGTTAAGAGATAGTATCTAGGTAACAGATGGATTGTGTCTTAGTTACGTTACTCTAGGGTTCTGAAGTACATATCTGTTTCTGTGGGGGCATGAACTCGCTTGTTCGTTTCGCCTGTTTAGGCTACAAAGCTCTTTTTTACAAATGATGGTAAACTTTTCATAAAGACATAGATTACATTTTTTGCCAATGTTGCTATAGGCTTTACATTTCTTTAAAACTTTTATATCTGGAAAGATTTCTTAGAGTCTTGTAAAGTCCAAATATATTTTGAGAGTTCCGCTTCATTTCTTCTGTTCGAGCGTCGAAAGGAGGACTGATAAACACTGTATATTTAAGGACCAAACTCTCAAGTTTCTTTATTTTTCTGGTAGTCAACAACTATATCTCCTTCATAGAAATGAAGAACCTAATAAAGAACGTTGTTAGACTAAATTATTAATAACTAGCCCAAAATAAAAGAGCCTTGTTTGCCAGGCCTCAAATAATGTAGGTTTTTATTAGTTGGTGGTAACTCTTCCGTGCATTTTCTACCCCTCAATTCGCGAAAATGAACGTTCACAGGAATTTTGTTTATCGTCCTCTTAAAAATTATCCGTTTGAGATTGGACGAGATTAGCACAATAAAAATTTCTTGGCGTGAATGCCCTACTTTGCAACACACCGATTTCGACTGAGCGTGCTCCTTGTCAACGATCTTAAGTGCTCAACGAATTAAAGCTATGGAACAAGCTCGAGTTGGATGAATTAAAGGGGCTGTGTCACGGCAGTCCAGTTCATTTTGATTAATTGTGCCAATTACTCACCCTCAATCGCTATGGAACTTAAAGTAGGCAAAGAAATTACATGTAAATGACAAAATCAGAGATCCGAGACAAACAAATGTCTCCCGAGTATTATTTTTGAAGTTGCAAGCAGCAGGGATCAACTTTGAAAAATTGTTAGGCTGAACAGTTTTCTAAAACCCTAATTTCAATCCGTTACAATCTTCTTCAGCTTTGCCCATCCGTGGCATATGTTGTTTCCGTTGTGTTATTTTAACCTTCCTTTAATGTTTTAAGCGGTTATTTTTATGTTTCTCTTAATTTAACGGGCATTTTGTAATTTCCTAATTTGGCTGAATTTCCTGACACAGCTCCTTTAACTGCTGTGAAAGACAGTTTCAAACTTACTCCCACCCAGATGCTCTCTATTGGCCCGTCACTTGAAGATAACGTCAACACTGGTCTAACGATGGTAGAACCTTTAGCGCAACCATTTACTTTTGATGGCGTTCGCCACGTTTCATCAAGCGCCGCGTTTGGTATACGTTCTACAGTGTAGACGATTTCCTGTGCGAGTGTCTT